GCTCACTGCTTTATCCATCCTTTCCCTTAAAGAAATTGTAAGGTCCAAATTATTACTCAGGGTCCTTCAAGGACCACCTAAATACTCTGGAAGCACTAATGACCATTCCTTACTGCTCAGGTGCCTATGTTTCCTTGACCCATCCATCTTTTTCCCATGTTTGCCTTGGGTTTTTAATGCAAAGCAGTTTAGAGGCCCTGGTCTCAGCAGGACTGCGCGGACTGGATCCAGCTCTGCCACTCACTGGCTGTGAGGTCCTGAGCAAGTCCCTTATCATTCCTGGACTTTTGGTTTCTGCTTTTATAGGATGAGGGCAACACTAAGGGCCTGCACCTCACAGGTCCTATTTTATACATACTCAGCCTACGAGGTTATTCTACACACACACACACACACACACACACACACACACACACACACACACACACACACACACACACACACACACACACACACTAAGCACCATGAGAACAGGATTTTGGTTTATTCAGTATGTAGGAAACTGGCATGAAGAAGCAATTAGAACAACAAATGCAAAGTCCTATTTCAACAATAACACAGAAGCTGAGAAGAAATACAAAGTTTGACATTAACGGAAGTGTGGTGCTGCCATGGTATCAGAGACCAAGTTCTGACTCTTAGTGTTACTTCACAGATGTCAGCTTTCCTGTCCAAACCTGTTTCCCTATCAGTAAATTTAGCTTGACCTAGGAGTTCCAAAATCTCTCTTCCAGCTTCCTAATACAGTCCTTAGATCTGTGGATTTCCTATTTAATATTCCTAAAGCCAGCTAAATAATTCTTACTTCTATTCTTACTATTAATTCTTACTATTAATAGTAATAATAATTCTTACTATTAATTCTTAATAGTAAGAATAGTAATAATTCTTACTATTTACATAGAGTATTTATATATCTAAGTAATACTAAATAATCTTTTTTAAAAATCCGCAATGGTTGTTAACTGAAATGAATGTACAAAGGAAGCTGCCCATTTTTGGACCATTTCTGATACATTAAATCAATGGAGTAAATGGATTTATTTTCCATTCACTAAATTTATCTTATATCATCCTGTAGTTTTCCCAATCTAAAATAAATGTTTTAGAACCTAAAACCACCCTCTAGGAGGTAGGACAGGGCCGTACGACACTGCGTAAGGCAGCTTCCACTCGGGAGAAGTGAGGCACTAGCCCCCCCAGCAGCCAAGTGCACTCAGCAGCTCTGCCAGGGCGGATCACACACCATGCCCTTAGCTTCTGGTCCGAACGTTCCCAGGGCGTCCGCGGAAACATTCCCAGGGTGTCCGCCGTGCTTCCTGCTATTGTGAAACACCTCTTGTGTGATTCTGGACATTATTACCAATTAAGTTGAAGTCTTGGCTGCACTATCCACTTTGAAATGCAGCCAAAATTTTTTTCCTTAAGAGTACTACGTCTTTTATATAAACATTAGTCTCTGAATCCTGCTTTGCACAGATTGGGGTAATTTGTTTCTATTCACTCTGGTTCCTCCTCAGATTGTATAAATCTTTTGCCTTTTTAAGTTTCTACTCAGTAATGCCAATTTCTATCAAAGCAAATAGGTAATTTCATAAAATTTGAAGAACCTCCAAATCCTTGCACTTATGTTTAGAAAACTATTAGGATTCAATAACTATTTGTTTCTTCAGAATTTCCATTGAGTAACCAAGCATTCACAAAACTCACTTCTTCCATTTTCTCTCATTTTACCAACTATTCATTTAGCTCTACCAGGTTCATCTTTTTCAGAACTTGTTATTTATTGTGACTCCTTCTCAACTGCCTTTGACATAGTGGGGAGATAAATCATTTATGTTGTGTTCCACTGTTTCCCTGATTAATGAGATACTTAGCAAATATTTGAATACTTTATGTAATGCACTGGCTATGAGACAAAAGCAGTGTAAATAAGAAGGCCTTTGCCCTTTAAGTGCTTGTTCTGCTACTTCTTTCATGTAACCGGGAGTCAGATCACAAATGGAGAGCCTCGACTTCTTCACCTGATAATGGGAGTGACTCACACTTCACTGGATTCCTATAAAGGCTGAAGATGCTGTTGAAATTTGAACAGTTTAAAAAATTTAAAACACTAAACAAGTAACATCAACACTGCCATCTGTAACCATGGGGACACAAAGCTGTTTAAGACTTTCCCCATGCCACCAAGGAACTTACACTTTAGACCAAACTGTCACTTGAGCAGGTGATACAAGTCCTATCCTGCCAACCAGCGATTTCCAAAACCAGATGAAAAGATGATCCACAGAAATATTAGAAAAATATTATAACTTGCATTTCTGTTTGTAATACAGAAATAAAATTGAAAACCGACCTCCACTATCATTTAATATGCAAACCAACCCTGACAGCGCCGTGCAGCTCCGAGGTCTGATGTTCATCGCTCATGCAGTGTGCTACCCCAGACGTTAGGACACGGCACATTCCTTTACATGTCTGCTTAAATACACTTGTGTACTTAGTGATGTAATTAAGCTACCTCTCACAAAATGAACAAGTAGTTTAAAATAACACTTGCAAAGAAGTCAGGATTTTCAAATACTGATGATGTAAACCAAAGCAAACAAAGGAAAAGTGACAAAGCTTACATTTACCCCACTCCTAGTATGATTCCCGTCAGCCACATTAAAAGGCAAGGTTTTGGAAACAGGTGCTTTTAAAGGGTTCCATTACTGCAGTATTCACTTTTTAATCTTACATATAAATAAAGCAAATGTTTCCATTCAAATCTATTAAATGGTCACCATCCCTGATGCCAAGCAGTAATTCTCATCTCTACTGAATCTGTGACACCTTCAAACTTGTAACAAAAATGGGTCAAAACTAATTATTTATTTTAAGGGTTTTAAGTAGAAAATTCTGTTTCTAAATGTTCAAAGTATTCAGTAATAAAAATGATCAGCAACAGAATTCTAACATTGCTTTTGGAATGATATGGAAGCATATTTATACATTGTTTTCAAAGGTTATCACGATGAAATATATTTTGGCAGGACATTTTGGGATGATAAATAAACCGAGTATTTACTTCATATGTTTGAGAGAAAACAAACATATTAGTGTGGTAGTGCTTGTATATAATTTTTAAGTGTATCTATACATATTGTGCAAAACATAATTAAAAATTTGAACATCTAGGTCTATTTATCAAGGTCATTCACCATTTCAGAAAGATCTGATTGTTTTCAAATATTTTATTTATATATTTTGAGAGAGAGGGGAAGGGAGAAAGAAAGAAGAGAGAAACATCAATGTGCTGTTGCTTCTCCAGCACCCCCTACTGGGGACCTGGCCTGCCAACCAGGCACGTGAGCTGACTGGGAATGGAACCAGCGACCCTTTGGTTCACAGGCCGGCACTCAATCCACTGAGCTACACCAGCCAGGGCAAAAGAAAAGTGGAATGATTTAATGATAAACCATATATGCAGAGCTATTACATTTTCACAATATTTAAAAACAAAGACTCTTTTTTCAATTTTGTGCCTTTGGTTTACTGTGTACACACAGGGTGAGGCAAAAGTAGGTTTACAGTTAGTTATGAAGACACATAACACAGAGTTTATTCTTGTATTATTATTTATTAATTATTCTATTATTTCCATACAAACCACTATAAACCTGCTTTGCCTACCATATATAATCTACGCTGAGTGCAGATTAACTACTTCCATTTGCTGTCAGGTCTGGAGGGTGAGTCTAGCCACCACATGGCAACAAAAGAGAACAAGGCACCCTGACTGGTGTGGCTCAGTGGATTGAGCACGGGACTGTGAACCAAAGGGTCACCAGTTCAATTCCCAGTCAGGGCACATGCCTGGGTTGCAGGCCAGGTCCCCAGTAGGGGACACATGAGAGGCAACCACACATGGATGTTTCTCTCCCACTCTTTCTCCTTCCCTCCCCGTCTCTCTAAAAATAAATAAATAAAATATTTTAAAAAGAGAGAGAACAAGGCACATTTTATGAAATTGGGGCTCTGCCAAACCCACTCAAGGGCAACAGCCCTTTCTTCAGAAAGAAACACGTCAGTTATAAGGATGTGCTCTGGTTGTCTGCTTACTAAATAGACTTAACCGTTTTGTTTTAGAAACTTGAACGTTAAGGAACAGTAAAACTGCCAGGAAACTGTCACAGTGGTTGCAACCAAGTGTCTTCCAGCATTTCACTGAAAAAACTGGATGCTCCATTTACATGTAAAATGGGGGGTCATCAACTTGTTCATTCCAGTCCTGAAAAGACAGATCCCAAATACATGTTCCAGAGCTAGTTAAGAAAACAACAATTTAACACTCAGCAAAGTGTTAAAGTAGCCAAAATCCCTTGGCTCATTCATCGCTTCCTCATTCATAAACTCTTTAGTTTTTTAACTTATTTTTCAATTACAGTTGACATACAGTATTATACTAGTTTCAGGTCTACAACTTAGACATTCATGTAACTTAAAAAGTGATCACCTCGACAAGTGTACTAACCATCTGACAACACAGATATTTATGACAGTATTATTGACTTATTTCTTAATGTTGTACTTCATATCCCTCTCTCCTAAACTCTTAACACTGTGAGGTTAGAGGAAATCTTAGCGGCCATCTAATCCAACTTGTAGCTGGTGTTTCTCTCCGTACTCAGTGGGAAGGCTGCATCAGCAACGGCACCCCAGGCTGGCTAGTCTCCGGGATCTGGGGAACCAATGTAGCCATGAAGCTCCTTCCCCCAACGGCTACTGTAGTGTTAGTAATTATGAAAGGTCAGTCCTTTTAACTTCAAGTCTTATCTCAGCCTCTATAGTCACATGCAAAAAACTGAAACATAAATAAATAAATAGTAAAATTTAAAAGCCTCATGTTTTTGTACAAAGTCATTCGAAGAATAAGGCTTGAGGGTCCACCATATGCTGAGGACTCAAATGTAACAATAATTCCAGAGACTTATCAATAAAACAACAGGACAAAACGATGATGTATTTTCAATTCCCTTTCTTTTACAAATATTTATTGAAGCCCCATTATTTTTCACATTTGGTACTACACATAGGGAATAAAATGGTAATACAGAGTTGATCCCTGCAATCGGAGTTCAAAGCCCAGGAGAGGGCACGCAGGTGATTACAATGGAGAAAGCTAAGCAGTCTAACACCATGAAGCCTTCTAACACCGTACTCACCAAAGCTTCTCTTCTTCATAAGCAAAACAAACATTTAAATGCAAAGTTACTCTCAGAGAAACAATCACTTTGGTAGACATGATTTTAAATTCGCACACACACACACACACACATACACACACACACACATTGGTTGCTTTGTTAGTATTTACATCCTGAAAATCAGTCAGAAAACACTGAATTCTCTCAGGATTCTGAAGGCAGGTAACCTGATATACTTGAGAGCAGAGATCCAAAAATATAAACATAGTACCATTCCTGATTTGTGATTCTATAACCCTGTAGCATTATTTGTAAACTGGTATTACTTATGAGAATCTTTGAAAAGAGAAGTGGTTAACCTTTCAAGCACCTAGAAATTTCTATGCACATTAGGTGCTTAAGCCATACAGGGAAATTAACAGATTTTCCAACTGGAAAAAGGTGAGGACATGCTACCAGATCACCCCATCCCAGCAGAGTTAGTGCTGCTAGAGCAGAGAGCTGCGTGCAGAGCGCCATGGGAACCAAAGCAAGGGTGCTTCTCCCAGCAATGGAGAGAGCTGGGAAGGCCTTCACGGTGGGGGCATGGACATCCTAAGTGAAGAATTATCAGGTCTACAGGTAGGACGTGTCCAGGTTGAAGTAGTTGGCTGTACTGTTATTTCATCTTTAAAAGATGTAACCTTCCCAGAACTGCAGACCAGTACCTCCCAGAGGGGATAAAAAGCTCTGAATTAATGTAATGATGGCAAGTGGCTCCCTAGAGAAAGATTCCTCCCTTAAAGCGGGAATCCAGGAGGGAGGTCCTCCTATACAATATGAAGTAGGTGTAGCCTCACATTTTTGGTTCACCAAGGCTGATATTAATCAGTTCTAAATAACTGAGGTGGAAACTAGTCCATTGTTTAAAAGGAAAGACCTAGGTGATAGCAATCAGTGTGAACAATAATGGTACTAAGAGAAGTAAACTTGGCAAAGGTACTTAGGTTGTATTTAATTTGAAGATTAGGAAGCTCTCCCTCCAATTTGGGGGACTACAAAGGGAAGGAGACGGTAATTTTTTATCTTGAATGACAGGACCCTGGCTTAGAAAAGAAAGTGAGTAGCCTCATTTGGAAGAGAAACCTAAGCTTCAAGCCAATTCTTTCCTACATCTCAACAGAAGCTAATGCTGTGCATATTCTGTCCCATTAAATGGCCATGGTGTTTACAGTCTGGGACTCGCCATAAAATCTACCCAGATGTGACTCCAAGTACTTGTGAAATGGTTTTTCTTTCACTCGTTAGCCCCAAGGAAGTGCTCAGGGTTGAAAGACTAGCCTTTATTATTTAACTCTTAAGCTGTGTGAGCTTAAGTACTATATGAAACTAATTATCCCTATCTGTAAAATGAAGCAAAGAAGATTTATTTTACAGTGTTTTTGTATGGTCAAGTACCTCAAATTCTTAGCACAAGGATGGCACCTAGTCAAAAAAACCCATAAAATGTATTCATCAGACCATCTTTCTGGCCAGGGGTACTGTTAGGCCCACGATCTACAAAAAGATATCCTTTAGCAGTCTGCATTTTTCAAGAAAGCCTCTTCCACAGGACAATCTTCCCACCAATAACGTCTGTGCATCTCATGATATACTGAAGCCTGATCTTCTCCTTAGGATAGATGCCGAGGTTCCTCAGGTAATTAGGGAAAGAAAAGGCACTCGGAAAGACCACTGTGAGCAAAATGAAATACAAAGGACTAATCCTAGCTTCTTTTGAAAAATCGTATCAATAAAAGAGTATTCAAAAAAGAAAAAAAACATGGCGCATGTTGTTCCTTTCACTCAAAGGCTGAATGGCAGAGCCACCTAAGGCTTCCAGATTATTTTTGTCTTTCTCCTGCGTAGTCTCTGGTTGTTCACACTCCAAAACGTGGTGGCTGCTTTTCACGGAAATGTTGGGGAGGGCAGCTGCCGTGGAGGTAGGTCACCAGGACTCCTCTGCACTTTACATGCACATAAAGACTCCAGAAGGGTCTGTAGCTGCTAGAGGCCTCCGCTGGCCGTCAGAGGTAGGTAGGTCCAGTGCTGTGTGCTGGTCTGCCTCTTAGCCCCAAGCCTGCGTGGGGCTGTGGTCTCAAAAGACCCCCCTCAACAGATGCTCTATTTAATAACTACAAGACAATAAAAACTAGAGTTAATATTGCCTCTTAACACTACTTAATGATCTTAATTTCTTTTAAGTAAAAAACAAAACAGTGCTAGTATTCGAGAGGCTGGTATTTCGTTCATGCTATTTAAGACACCCACAGACAGCCACCATGCTCAGAAGCTGAACGCGGAAGCATCATGCAGCCAACAGTCAGGAAGCACATGCAGGTGCGTTTGAAGTCGACGGCCACTGCACACACCTAACAATATCTTGAAATGTATTTAAAAAACAGGCTAATCTAGCAACATAGATACATTAAATTGTATAACCTAGAAACTCTAAATGCAGGCTTAGTGTTGCTTGGATCTGTATTTCCAGACACAAGGCTATTCATCCCATTTAAGGACAAATGCAGGGATTATCTTTTCTACTGGGGATGAATCCATAATGAGGAGGGAGAGTGAGAGTTTTAAGTCAGAATTGCATAAGCTGCATTCTGAGCATACCTTACTTTTTGTAAGGAAAAAAAAATGGTGACTATTTCAGAAAAGTTTCCTGTTACATCTTTCTCCTAAGCTATCAGCATGTAACATGGTGAAGAGTCTGAGAAATTCTGAAATAAAGGAAATTATCTAACAAAATCCACACTTATTCAACTACCAGAAAAGAACTCAGAAGAAACAGCTTTTTAGTTTCTATTCTAATTTTCACTTTGATCTGTTGTTAGTGGCTGCCTGGAATGAGCTGTAAAGCTCAACCAGATGAAATGTTCTACCCAATGAGAAACCCTACCTGGCCGCCATGGCAGCCGTCATTGGGACATGAAACAGTCTGGCAAATGCTGTTGTAGGACAAAGGCTATAGCCAGTTCCAAATTTCACATCCCAGTTCTACTACTTACAAGCTAAGAAAAGGAGGAAGGGAAAAGGGGAAAAATGTTAAAATGCAAGAAAGGTAAGCCTTAATCAACTTTTTTCTCTAACACCCATTTCCCATCCAAATTCTGGACATCTAAATTTGTGGCTCTAGTGAGAGCAATGATTTAAACATATATTCTGCAAGTGGGAGAGTGTAAAGAGTGAAAAATATCCTCTTCTTCCTTCCAGTCGATATTTTTTATATTCTGCGAAGGAGCCATTTTTAACAAGACGGGTGATAACTCGCAGGAATGAGTGACAGATATGTCAATTTCTCTGGAAGAACCACCTTCTCCATTAGAAAACAAACTTAAAATGATGCAGCTTCACATGGTTCCCTCATGAGTCTTTTTTGGAAAAAAAAAATGAACCACCTGAGGCAGCCTAGCTACTTCAAGGATCTGAACTGAACTTAAGCTAACCATTTTTTAACTGGGTCTTTTCCTTTTTGGGTTCATGTCTGTTTACGTTATAAGCATCATACCTGGGACAGCTAATCTGAAGTGTGCAAATGGAACGTGTGAAAATGGAAAACCACTCACACAAAATAGTGCAGAGGCATGTGAAAGGTAGCAAATAAGCAGGCCCAAGCAAGAAATCTAAGAGAAAACCACCATCTCTCTAGTTTCATCTCCATCTCCCTGATGAATACATAAACATTAATTTGCATAAGCAACCAGGAAGAGGGAAGCTTGCTTTTAAGAAGAAAATTCAAAAATTTTCAGTGGCGCTCACCCAGTTTCTTCCTCTGATATGGTAAATCATACATTCCCACAGTTCCCAGCTGCATGAACAACTGACTGATAAAATCAGTGACATCCTATGAAGAGTTTACAATGGGAAATTGAGTCATTATGTTGAGATTAAACATCATCATGAAAGAAAACAAAAATAAGTAGTTTGACATGCATTAAGTGTTAAACTTCTGATTCTTTCCCTCGGCTGAAATACTCTTCAAAGTAAACCCCAAGGAGTTTTTAAAAACTATCCTAATCTTGGTGTATCGAATCTACATTGAAACAAGTAAACCTATCCTAATAATAAGTATTCTAAAAGCTGCATTGTTACATCTTAAAAATGAACCCAGAAGACACAGTAGAAAAATGGTATGAGATTCCCAAATCCACTACACAGAAACACATGATTGACATTTCTGCCTGTTGTGACAAGCTTCAAACTTACAAGTTACTGGAATATAAAACAGATAAATAAACCCTCTGGTATGAATTTCCCCAACCATTTCCCAAGCATTCCAAGACGGCCAAATTCCCATCTTCTGAGTAGCAACCTGCCTAATAAACACTATAGTAGTTTTTTGTCTTGTTTTGTTTGTGGGGTTTTTATTTTTATTTTTATTTTTGGCTTACAGTTCTATGAAGACAGGTGGGTTCCCAACAAAAACTCAATCAGAAATCAATGAAGCTTGCTTGGCTATCATCAAATAAAAATTTCAGCCACAGCGAATCTAATTTCCTTTCTATACAACCTTTTCAGCCCTTAAAGAGTTTAATCTTCAAAGTGAAATCTGAGTTCCCTCTCTACTCCCTCTTACAGCCTCACACAAGTCAAATGAGAAACTACACTTGAGACTGTAACAGAAAAGGCTAGAAAGGCTGTTCAACTTTGAGAGTCTTCTCTGGAGCGGAGTTTGTTTCCAAGGACTTCCACCAGGCGGTCTGGCCAAGAAGACTGCCTACACAGGAGCTGTGTGCAAGCTCATCATCAAAAATGAACGAACAAGTCCATAAAGTCACAAAGAAAACAATTATCGCTTACCTGCCCACCACATAAAGTCAACCATAATTAAACCTCCTTTGCACTGTGTTGTTACTTTGTTTATAAGATGTTGGCTCCCTTTAATCTGCAGGTACTTTTGAGGGATGCAAATGTATTGGACTGTGCCAACTATAACAAAATGGTAAATGCTATTCAAATCTGATAGTCTCAGAAACTGGCCTGCAGGCAGTGTTGTATTTTATTATACATATTATATATATTGTTTGAAAAGAAAATTGAAATAAAGATCTCTAAGGAAGTTTCTATTTTGCCACAGGTCCAATTACTTCTTATTGTTTTACATAAGTTTGTTTCACATGTTTAGGGACCTGCCAGGGTGGGCCCTAAATGCATTGGAATTTGTAACCCCCCCATAAAGTATTCAGGTAGCTGAATGTCTACTGGACGTTGAGAAGGAAACAGTAACTAAAAAATATTTACTCAGTTCTTTCTGCCCAACTCAAACTATGCACAAACTTTCCATGTCAAGATTCACTTCCTGCCAAGATTTTTCTAGCTTGAAATGCATGTGAATTTATCTAGTCACACAGAAAAAATTATAAAGGATAGATTATGAAGCCAATAAAATTAAGGAAAATATGACATAGTGATAGAAAATGTTCATCTTCTAAGTGAGTCCTGAAGAAGAAGAATTTAATAAAGTAAGTTTCTAGCAAGAGGAGCAGGAATGCGGGGAGGAGGGTGTGGACGCTGCCTGCTCTGGGAGCTGCAGGCTGCTGGGTGAGCACAGGGAGGAGCAGGAGCCTAACAGAATACCCTGTATGCACCACGAGATCAGCAGACTCCAGTGGGAACAGTAAGAAGCAATCTGATGAGAGCATATCTGGAGAGGGCAACCAGGAAAGCAGTGGTAGCGTCTGGGATGAGTCGATGCAGAGATCTGGAGATCCGACTGGTTTGTGAAATAACAATGCAGAGAACAATGACAGCAGGTACACTTGGCAAAAATTTGCCAGATACTCCTGTAATGGCCATAGTTGAATGGACTGTGCTGTAGTTTACATAAGACACTTAAACTTGAACAAAATACTGGTTAGGTGTTAATAATTCTTCACTTTTAAAAATAAATTAACCTTTATTTAAACGATAATTACTGAGCCTGTAGGAAAAAGTCTCATGCACTTCACTCATTAAATGGTTTGTCTTTTCTTGAGTTACACACCCAGCATGGCTTCCCCAGCACCACAACAGGAAATACCCCGATGCTTTGGGTGAGACCTGACAAATCGTTTGTGTTAACATGTTTCAAGTGTCACCAAAAGTACTTGACTTGCCTGCTATCTAAAATCAACTCCACTTTATCATTTTTCTTAAAACGTGTAAAAACGCTGTTCCCTATAACTTTCAGTTGGTTTTGCAAAAAGGACATGGATTCTATCACTCTGCAAAATATGTTTACCTGGAACTGCTTGATGTTAAGAGAAATGTCAAAACCAACTATCTTATGTATATTCTTTTCTGCTTACCAATATTATGATCTTTGTCACAACTCCTAACTACTGACCAGGCAGAGTGGCTGATTTTTCAGCAAGAGAAGAAAACATGGCCCTCATACTGGTTCCGGTTGAATGTGCGCTTAAAATACATACTGCAATCAGTAGCCAAACACTCTTCCTATTTTTATTCCTAGTAAGAGAATACCATCCAGAAGTCCTACTACCACGTATATATTAACTCTTCCCACTTAGGGTAGAGAACACTTCTCATCTTATTTGATGTTACAATGGTTTTGTGTCAAGCAAGAAAGGGGGAGGGAGAGGGAGGGAAGCAGAGGGGATGGAGAAGCCAGAGAGGTGAAAAGGAGGAGAGGAGGAGGGGGAGGATGATACATGGTAACAACCATCTTGACTGTCTCTTTCCTTGTGCCATCAATTCCACAGGAATTCTCAACCTGAAGGCAAGAAATATTGAAGGGCCGTGACAGAGTATCTATAAGTCTGCAGAGCCTTAAGTTCAGGAATATGAACACCAAAAATTATAATCAGATTGAATTACATTTATCTCGCATGAACTACAGTTTTAAAAATTCATATAAATACTGTTACGATTTTAAAAATACATGATATTCAGAGGTAATCTTAAAAATATTTTACAACAGTTTAAGCCTGGGCTTCGATGAATAAAATGGACATTTGGCCCTCAACAGGCAACATGGACAGATGGTTCCTGCCAGCTGAACAGCAGACCAGACAATCCAAGGGAGTGCGGGCAATGTTTCCTCTCTGTCTTCTTTTTCCTACTAAAGAGGGGTCCTCTCTCTCTCTCTCTCTCTCTCTCTCTCTCTCTATATATATATATATATATATATATACACACACACACACACACACACACATATATATATATATATACACACACATATATATATATGGAGTTATTATTTGAAAAAACAGGGTTGGCTCAGCTCTAACACCATATCCTAGTGGTTAAATCCCAACCCAGGAGAAAAATCACAATAAATTTAGAAGTTAGTTTTTTGTTGGTGCTGTGTGTTTTATCATCGTTAACAGTCATTCTCCCACTTCCCCTCGAATCCCAGGAATTGTCAACTCTTACCAGATGTTCTAAAGGCTGTAAACCCTACCCCATGAAAATGTCTGTTTTTATTTATACTTGATTATAAATGAGAAACAGCTAGTCTCAGGCTTGTGGTTTCAATTTACTTAAAGCATTTGATACTCTGCCAAAAGGAAAAACCCCAGGTTCAGAAGGATATCTGCGAGGGACTACAATCTATGCTACACTTCTGCCCTGGAGTGTGTCTGCAATAGGAACCAACGTGTTAGCACACACACTCGGCCATGAGTTCTTCCCTAGTGGGAAAAGAAAACAAACTGGCCTGGATGGACCACCATTTCCTTTAACTAGCCCAAGGAGTAACTTGGATACTGTCTATCTCTTTGTCTTAGTGTAGTGAAATAAGTTATCCACATTAATATATTTAGTACAACATGTTACTTCAATGAGTCACTTAGGTCAATTTCTCAGAGCAGCAATGATAAGAAAGATAGCATAGTAAGTCCAAAATTGTTTATGGTATCCATATTTTTACTGCAGATTCAATCCAAGTCATTAAGGCAACGTTTAGAAATAAAGGTACAGTAATAAAAAAAGTAAGTTAAAAATGTAGTCCTAGCCCTGACCAGCAGGGCTCAGTTGGCTGAACATCATCCCTGTAAAGCGAAGGGTCACCAGTTCAGTTCCCAGTCAGAGCACCTGCCTGGACTGCGGGCCTGGTCCTTGGTTGGGGTGTGGTTGGGGCACGTGGGAAAGGCAACTGATTAACCAATGTTTCTCACATCACTGTTTTTCTCCCTCTCTTTCTCCCTCCCTTACCCCCTAAAAAATAAAATCTTAAAAAAAAGAACTTAGTCATACTTACCACATTAGAAATTTAAATGTATATGGATTCTACATATTCAAATATAGATCAGGTTTGTTAATCTACTAAAATCATAATTTTAAATAAACCATCTAATTCCTCTTGGGAAAAGTGGTGTTAATTCTGGTTATCTTCTTAATCTTAACATTCTGAGGGTCTACTGATTAGAAGAGACTTCAGATAGTAAATAATTAAAAATATGAATGGATAGTCCAACAAAACTAACCTTAAAAAAGGCAAACCACTTGTAGTCGTTCAACACAATCTCAAAGCCTTGATTGTAAATGATGGTGAAATGTCCAGAATTGCCCCAGTCATCGTAAGCTGTGTCCAACTTCTTAAGGTGCACCACTACTTTTTTTTCTGGTGGTCCTAAAGAAACAAAAATGCACAACAATGGAAAATTATTTGTACTTTCATGGGAGGAAAAAGCTCCTGTACAATTTCCATCATTTTCAGCTGCTTTCCTTTCATGCCACCCAATGTGAGCCAATCTGGCTTGTGAAGATATCACACTTTCCATCTTGTTGTGTCCCTCTGTACAGTTCCAAAGGGGGTTCAGTCAAGCCTGGAAAGTGAGTGCTCAACAGCTAGGAATATGCCAACAGGCAGAGAGACCCTAAAACGTACAGCCTCTACCTTCCCAGAACGTCCAAAGACTTAAGAATTTTTTCCACTGAAGAAAAGGAAAAAATGTGTGATGTTGAAGATAACAGGCAGAAATGAAGAGAAGACAAAATGGTAGTCAGGAAGCGGAATATAAAATGTAAAAAGGCCTGCTATCAGATTAAAAGAAAGGCAAAGGAAATGATCTCTTCAAAGAAGAAATGGAGCATCTTTCTCTATAATGGTTCCGCTGTTCAGAACTTCAGAATCTGAATCCTTCCACAGTACTTAGCAAACTCAAGTTTCTGTCCTAGAAAGCTAACATGTGCTGATAGGAACTAAACTTTTAAACTTTCGAACATAAGGGCTCAGACAAGTGGGTGTCTTTAATTATTATATTAAGGTCAAAAGTATAATTTATAATCATAGGCTGACTGAACAGGGTTCTGCTGTGTGGGTCTGGATGTGTCCACACTTGAGGCGTTTTTCCATAGTTCAGATTAGTATTAGCTCTGAACTAGGATGTGCCCAAACAGTTACAAATCCTGATCTCCCGTTTGCTTCATACCTCCAACTTCAACTTCTAAAACAGAAGATGGTTAAAATGCCCAGGACTCTGCAATGCCACAGTCATTTGGAGTTAGACAGCTGAATCGATCTGCTTTGGTAACAAATCACCTGGCAATCTTTGTTCTGCTGACCAAGAGAGAGCAGCTGACAGCTTCACTCAGTCTGGCCAAGCTACAGGCTGGCAAGGGTTTGGGCAGAACAAAGGTTCCTCTTCCATCAAGACTGTGTTCTTTCTTCCTTCAACAGTTTCTTCCTCTTTGGTATATCCATGTTATCTAAAGGGTATATGGACTATACCAGTGTGTTCAAATACTAGATATTTATTGAGTGCTTGGCATTGTGCTAAAGGGTTATTAAAAGAACAAAAATCCACAGAATTTTATATACATCCCTGCGATACATAAAACAGGGAAGAGGGGTACCAGAAGTTTTCTCAGACTAGTAGCAACAACACACATCTAAATCAAAATTGCTGGGCATAAGGGCTCTTTCCCACAATCTAAAAACAAAAACAAAAAAACTTTTCTGTTATATTCTCAAGTATTTGAGCTCAGTTTTCACTGGCAAAAACAAACAAACAAAACCAGAACTACAGGTTGGCCCCCGGAGATGATAAGATTGCAAGGTCTGAACTCTCTTCCAAACCAAACAAACCCAAAACACAGAAAACTAAAATTAAGGGGGTCGGGAAAGAAAGCCTTTTAGAAAGTATTGAGGCCCCAGGAATAACTAAGAAAAGGTGAAGTTAAAAGTTCTCAGCAGCTCAACTTGCACTTGGGGACCCTGGCGCAGGAGAGGGCATCCCAAGGAGACCCGAGTCCAGCCAAATGCCCCGGTGGACGCACGCTCCGCCTCGTGGAGGCGCGCTCGGTGTGGGCGCTGCGGGGAAAGGGGCTCAGGGCGAGGGAAGGGGGACAGTCCGGGCTTGGCGGCTGCTTACCCATCACCGAACAGTTGACGTCCCGCTGGGAACCTCCGCGGCCCACCTGGAAGACCCAGGTGCCCAGCAGGTCAGGGTAGGTGCAGTTGGCAGGTGTGTCGCCGTGCGCGGTGCCAGTGCCACAGAGAAGCAGCAGGACAGCTGCGAGCTGAGAGCGGGGCCAGGGACCCATGCTGGCGGGGCTGGAGGCGAGGAGAGGGCGCAGGAGCAGCAGGGCAGCCGCGGGGACTGGAGGAGCCGCGGGAGCCGGGCAGCGCGACGCGCGCCTTAAAATAACCGGGGGCCGGAAACCCGACACCGGGCGGGGCGGGCTCTGGGGCCGTGGGAGACGGCGCGGGGCACCTGGGGGCAGGGTTGGGGCGCGCACCGCCCTCGCGGGGGCCTTGAGCCCCGGGGGGCGACACCAGGACGCGGTTTGTTGGCGAGGGACAACTCCAAACAGGACTTAGGAGTCACAGTTGGTCCGCACGCGACCCAGACTTCCTCCTTGAGGGGTTGGGGGGACGCAGTGAGAGAGAAAAGAAAATGAAAGAGAATGAGGGAGAGAGAGAGAAAATGACGAGAGAAATGAGAATGAAAATGGGAATACACGCTCGTCGGCTCGGAGGAGGGAAGGCAGTTGAGAGGCAGAGACGGACAGACAGACCCAGAAAAAACGAGTGGCAGGGACCGGGGGTCAGAGAGCCAGAGGGAAGGGAGGTGGGGAGGGCGGGAGGGAGACAGGTGAGCAGGTCCCAGAGAAAGAAGGATCTTAAAGCGGGGGGTTTGCTTCTTCAGTTTTTTAATTAACTCAAGGCTTTTTTTTTTTTGTCTCATAAAATTGTACTTGCTGTCCCCAGCCGCCTCAGCAGTTTGAGAACTGCTCTTCCTTCCGTTTTTTCCAAAACTTTCACTACCGTCTTTTGGCTCGGCTTTGCTTGATTTCCTGTTAATGTTGTTTGCCCACTACCCGCAAGAGAATTCGGTGCAGTGCAAACTTGCAGTTCTTGCGTGCTGGTTGTTTTTGTTTCCCCTGCAGACTTGAAAGGACTTAGTGCTCACACGCACACACACAAGCTCTCATAGTTCATGTTGCGGAACCCCTTCTCCTTTTACCCTTGAAAAGCATAACGCCCAGAGAGAGGAAGTAATTGCCCAGGGTGAGGAAGGGAGATGGCTGGTCTTATTGAAAGGGGTGTAAGGCGTAGAATAGAAAAGAAGATTTTTTCCCTTTCTTTTCTTCTCCATTATAGCCTTAGATGATTACTAATAGAACGTGTAACCAATTAATGAAATATATATATATATTTAACCTTATGTTCCAGCTGAGATTTTGTTGCAGTTACAAGTTGACCAGGAAAGAACAAAGACATTTTTAACCCAGCTCTGAACCCACATGCCAGGTCCCCAGGTATGCAGAGACTGGTCGATTGCACCCCAGAAACACGCGGATGATGCACCCTGATCACTGCTTGACTGCCTGTGAGATCCTTATCAGAACACTGACCATTCTGTTCCAGGAATCAGTGACTCAGTGACAAAAATGTTCATCAAGATCAACACCCCCTCTCCCTACTCCTCCTCCCCCACCCCGGGTATAAACTTGCCCCTGAGGAGCTTGGGGGAAGGTGGATGTTAAACTTTTTATCCACCATCTTTTCTGATTTCCAGCATCTGATATTAGATGTACACTTAGAATCCAACCCCTGTCTCTGCTCTTTGGCTGGGTGGTGACAGGCAGCCCAAGCCTCAGACTTGGCTGGCCTCCATTTCATCATGAGCAGCATCCTGGTATGCCAGGCCAGCCTCTAGTAGTTACTAGGAGGCCTTCTGGGGACGTTCAGAAAGCTCCACCCCATTATGTGCCTTGGTGATATGCAGATTGTTTTGAGCTCAAGGCAACTTTAGCTGTGGGCTCCAAGGAAACTTCTGCCCCTCCATTAACTGCCTGAAAGACTTGAATTAGAGGCCTTACCCATAAAAGGAGGTCAGGCATAACGTTTTTAGACCTTATCTAGAAGGCAGGGCAAACTTTTGATTACTAAACATCCACTATTCTTGTCATCTTGCAATGGCCCTTTGAAGCCCCCAAGTCACCTTGCCTCAACCAATAGCTCAGAATGTCGTTTTTATGCATATTTTACCTTTCTTTCTTTAAACCTCTCATACATGTGGGATCTTTGACCCTCTCCTGTTGCGGGGTTCCTGTACACATATATTTAAATGATTTTCTCTTGTTGTATCTGTCCAGTATCTATTTGATTGTTAGACCAGCTGAAAGAACCTTGAGGGTACAGAAAAGTGCCTTCTTCCCCACCCCGCCCCGCCCCCATGATTTCCGGGGGCCTCATTGCTCAGTTTAAATATCACCTTTCCTGTTAGATCTCTTCTGACATTACTGGCTGTTGTTGAAAGCTGGGGCTCCCCCCCCCCCCCCCCGCACAGTCTGTTAAGTGTCAGGCCCTGTGCGGCATTAAGGACAAGAGGTGAACCAGAGTCCCTCCCTTCTGGGGCACACGCATTTTGCCCTCCTCACACTGGTGAAAATAAGTATTTGTTTGGCCATCCACTTTTTCCATCAGATGATAAGCATTCAAAGGGAGCAAGTACACACTATTCACCTTTATCTCCCTAGCTTCTAGCTTGAAAACACTCAGAAAGTATTATGGATGTTCAATGCACTTAATAACATTATCTCGGTTTCTAGGCCTGAAAACCAAATTCAGCTGGGCCTGAGGAGTTGCCCTTGAAAACCGGGAAGTGAAAGTGCTCTCTAATGTAGGCACAAATTGCAAAGGCAGGGGGGAGGAGCCAAACACCCTGTGCCCAGGTCTCATTGCCTGTTACTTAGGGTTAAAAGCTGGCATCATATAATTGAGCTAACACACTTGATAGTTCAGAGATACAGTGGCAGAGTAGCATTGCCTTCCTGATTGTCTAGGAAAGTATGTTATGGGTTGTTAAAACATTAACACTTTTACTTGGTCATCAATATGGAAGAGCTGAACAGTGAAGCTAGAAATTTATGGGAGTAATCAAAGGAGCACACAACTCTGAAGCAAGTTTAAAACAATCTTTATTCAATGAATGATAAGTAGAAAGTGATCCTGGAGACCCCTTAGTCTAATGGATTCATTTAATTCCCGGAAATGGAGATCGAGAGATAACAACTTGGTGGGTGAATGCCACACTCCCCGTTACTGAGATTCAAGAATAAATCTCAGGTACCTTGATTTTCAATTGGGTTTATTTCCAATTGTTTATTAATTAATTACAAAGATTTTTGCTCCCAAATAAAAGATAGCCCTCTCTCCATTAAGGGGTGGGGAGAGATTCAATAGTGATTCTCAAAGCTCTCAGATCCCAAGTTTTATTTTATAATGAATATTTTATAGAGACTGCAATATTGTGATTCATAGATGTAGATGTATAAGATTCATCTTATGAATCACAATACTATAAGATATGTGTATCTTATAAGTCACCTGAAATATATGCCCATTTGAAATATATAAATATTTGCTTCTTCAGATGACCACAATATATTTCTCAGGTATATTTATTTGGTTTTCATCCATAGGTCCTGTCTCAGAGCTCCCCAAACCCGTGAAATTTCCTGAAGCCTCTTTTGTTACACTATTTGATTTCTTCTAGGTTCCTAACAATGCCTCAGAGCCCAAAAGGTGAACCAGGTGCCTTGTTATTCATCATAAGCCCTGTCACCACAACTGGGTTTATGTTAATGAAAATGACATTTGCAAAGCACCTAAGGATGGGGGCTGGCTGCCAGGGGAACCAACCCTGAACAGAGGTAAGAAACTTTTATCCCACCCCTGATTCTGTGGGGGGAGGAAAGGGGCTAGAGGTCAGACCAATCACCGGTGTCTAACGAGTTCATCGGTCACAGCTACATAATGAAACCTCCCTAACAATACCCAAAAGGAGGAGGACGGGGAACCAGAACACATCCATGTGCCACCGTGCCAGACTCCAAGCTCCATGAGGACAATAGCCTCTTTGTTTGGACCTTGCTCCGTATCTGTCTTCTCAAGTGGCCCATGATTGGTATCTTTTAATATCCTCTGCAATAAACGGAAAATCTAGTGAATAAACTCAGCTCACTTGAGTTCTGCAAGCTGATTTGGTAAATTAATCAAACCCTAGAAGGGGGACCTGGGAACCTCTGAGTTGTAGCATGTTGGTTAGAAGCACAGGTAACAACCTGGGCTTAAAACTGGCTTCTGGAGTGGAGAGTGTTCTTGTGGGACGGAGCCCTTTACCTAGGGAATCTGACTCTGCATCTGGGTAGATGGTGTCAGAATTGAGCTGAATTCTTAGACATCCTGTGGTGTCCAAGATTAGTTGTTGGTATGGAAGGACATTGAGTTGGACATTGAGTTTCAGAACACTTTTCAGGAACTTTTTACTATTCTGAAATAAAATTCATATACAAGAAGTTACTTACACATTTAACTAAAAAAAAGAAAATATTAAATGTAATATAAAGGACAAATAAGAAGGTATTTAAATACATTTCTAATACCAAGATGTATATTCCATAATCTAAAATGCTCTGTATGAATGTACTAGAAAACAGAATGAGACATTCAGATATCCGCTCTTCTCCATTTAGGATTTTGGAATCACTATAAAAGTGACAGGTACCTTTTCTCTGATAACAGAAATGATTTCGGTGAGTTACATCTCAGATACTGTATCAGATGGTCATTTAACCACCTTACGTCAATTGTTGATGCCAGACTCTTGCTCAACACTCTTGGTTAAAAGTTATTGTCCAAATAGTTGAAATTGGATTAATCTCTGGTCAAAAATTACAGGGGGTGACTTAAAACTTTCTTGGCCAAAATCGGGCTCCTTTGAAATGTTCAAATTAGCTTATTTATTTCAACTTCAATGCTGAGGTTTTTGAACTCACCAAAGATAGTAGGAGGTTTTTTTAATCAGTATTTCAAGGCCTCAAAATGGCACCAGGAGGCAGCAATGTCTGCCCTCCAAGGGAATAACTGTAAACTTCATAAATGCCCCACAGAAATTAGAAGAAGAAAAGACTTGTGCAAGCAACCCTCCTCCTTTACTTTCCGAATCCTCTGAAATCTTACAGCCCCTCAGTTCCTATTTAGCGACCGCACCCCTGACCTATTCCTTTTGGTGAGACTCCCTTTGTATTCTGTGAAAAGATGGCCCATTTTAAAGTTTTAGATAGCTTCAAAGGATTCAAAACTGTCTCTTTGACTCCTGGTCCTGAAGCAGAACTTTTAGCCCAAGGATTTCCCAAACCCCAGAATTAATCCTGTTGAATTCAAAGGCACATTTAGTCTCATCATTAGTGCTTATCAGCCAGGTCTCTCCAACCCACACCAACTCATCCATGTGCTGGTTGCCCATGTCCCAGCTAGGGAATGGATGAATGACCCAGGTCAAAGCCACTCCCTGTAAGACTTTAAACTCCTGAGTGCCACAGGCTTAGCAGCCTTACAGAAACAGTCATAAAAATTATTAAAAGCTATTCCCCAAATTTTCCCCAGGCAAATAAATCGGAAAGCTGTTCATCAAGGTGTACAAGGAAAGGATGAATTCATCTTAGGTTAGTTCCATCATTTTGAGCAAGTATTCCAACAAAATTCTGGAACCAACGAGTGCAATGATGAAGTTACTAATTTATTCAATCCTATCTTTGTTGTGGATTTTCATGAGGCCCTCAGTACTTTATTAAAATAATACAACATCAGTTAGATGGCAAAAAGATCCCATGAAGTTGCCTCACTCGCTAACCAACTAGCAAAGACAAAAAAAAGAAAAGACAAAGAAATCTAAATTACTTGAGCCTTAGCCTTTCAGGAAAAAAAATGGCTAACCTAATAGCCATGTAACTTCAATTAATTAATCCCCTTACCCTCAGTTCTCCCCAGACACTAGATCAAAACCCTGCATCTTGTTTTTTTTTGCAAAAATCCTGGACATTTTGAAAAGGGTTGCCTTCGGTGTAAGCAATGGCCCCAGTTCAATCCAGATAAGGCAGCCTGATCCAGGGCCTCTAAACAAGATTGGAGATGCTCCAGGGACTCAACAGGGACTTCCCCCCTTTTAACAGCTAACCACCTAGGGGAACTAGACATTAAAATTAGGGACTTATTTAGTCAAAGTCCTCATTGATAGTGGGGTCACCCTACCAGTCCTCAATTCCAGCACTTCATGTTCCCTCCCAGTTCTGAAACTGTCCCAATGGTTGGGATCACTAACCAACCTCTAACAGTTTGTAAATCTCAACCTACTTTCGACTAGGCCTCTTACAGCCACTCACAATTTCCTACTCATTCTGTCTGCTCCCGCGTGACTTTTTGGCAAAGATCTCTCAGAAATTTAGCACATACATATGTCTCCCAAGAGGAGGAAATACTCCTTGATCTCAAATTATTCCCTTGTAAAGACCTGTCCCTAACTTCAGATAATCCTCTTTCTCACCACATCTCCTCACCCAGCTCCTCACAATCTAGGCACCTCCAGGCTCCACTCTCTGGGCAAAATCAAATACAGACACGGGCCATGTCTATTTTGCCCCTCCTCCACCAAGATTCAAACTGACCCTAATAATCCCCTCCCAAACATAAACACTACTCCCTGAATCCCTCAGCCATAACCAGAATTCAGCTGATAATTAATGGTTTCCTACACAATAGACTTATATTTCCTTGCACCAACTGGTATAAGTTTTACCAAAAATTATGCCAAGTATATTTTGCCACTGCGGCAAATAGTTTCTTTCTCCTCAGCCTCCCTTTCCCTTCCCATCCAAGCAAATTAATCTACGTTCATTTCCTAGTGTGCACGGTTCCAAGTTCACCACTAAACTTACCCAGACATTTACAAACATGAATAAGAAGCAGGACACATAATGTTTAAGAACACAGATTCCAGATCCAGAATGCCACGGTCTGAATCCTGACCGCCAGCTCACTATATGTGTGGTTTTAGGAAAGTTATTTGTGTGCTGTGGCTCAGTCCCTTCTTCTGCACACTGGGATGACCTGCTTCAGAGGGCTGCGGTGAGGTCTTGAATGAGTTAGTACATGAAATGCTGTCACAGGGTAAGCACTGTTATTATTATTACTATTTTGATGCACCTGGGTATGAATTTGGAGGGGGGTTATGAAATGGGAACATACTTTACATTTCTGCTATCTGATTTTTGTTCTTTCTTTCATTCTCTTCAACCTGAAAGTTTCATTTTTAATGAAACTCATTCTTAAAAATAAATTACAGAGACCTTATCACATCAAGGAATTGAATCACTTTAGGAAAACAGCTGCATGGCACTTAAAATATTTAACATATCTATTTAACTATTATTAAATGGTCATTGGGCTGTTTCCAGGTATATTAGCATCATCTTTTTTTTGCCATTACAAACAATGTTGCAATAAGAAATTTTGAACATACATGCTTCCTACAGCTGCTTTTATTTCTGAAGGAAAGTGACAGGAACTAACTGCTAAATCGGACACTGCGGGACGAAGTAACTTGAACAGGTCTAGCAAATTGCATTTCTATCAGCAACATAAAGACAGTCCTCTCCCACCCCTGCCCGGCCTCCTCCCTGCAAACCTACTTTCTTCTCTGAGTTGTTTTAAATATTTTAAATTTAAATATTTTAAGTTGTTTAGAATTGGTTGAAATGTTTTAAGTAACTATTATTTAATTTTAACTTTGTCTCCCTGAAGCACCTAAGGTCTATTTTTGTAGCTTATGTGATGTAGAGGTTCAGGTCCCTTTTGGCTTAGGCCAGGTACCAGTGCCATTGATTAAATAAACCCATTTTCCCTCTAAATTTGAACACCAAGTTTGAATAGATTTAATTCCCATAAATACTGAAATATTTTGTTCTACTGATGGACTTGAGAGTATGTGTGTTTTCTCTTTTTTTCACGTTTTCTCAGCTTTTCTTAGGCAGTTTTCTCACACGCCTGCTATGAATTGTTAAAATCACTCCATTTATTTTAAAATTCTTTATCACTTACAAAGCTGTGTGCTTTTGCTACTTTAGTCCACTTTTCTAAACTTAATGTGGTATTCAATAGATTTAAATTTGGGGTATCATTTTCAAAGGACCAACTTTGGGTACAATCATCTACCCTAATGTTTTTAAATTGACTAATTTCATCCTTTTTTAGTATAATTTTTACTCCTACTTTGCTTCCTTTTGTACTTCTTTCTAAAATTCATTAACATAAGTAGTTAGTGCCTCATTTTCAGTCTTTTCTTTTAATAATGAAGGGCCATTAGGCTCCCAGTTTTCTTCTGAGACAAGCTTGAATTGTATCCCACAAGTTATAGTATGAAGTACATATTTTTCCTTATAGTTTAAAAGCCTATAATTTAGGTTTGACTTTCCAGTTGACTTCATAGGTTATTTGGGAGTCTATTTTTAATTTTAAGTAGATTTTATTTAACTTATTATATTTTTATTAGATTATGTTCTCTAAGAATGTGGGCTGTAAAACATCAGCATTTAAAATTTTATTAGTAATTGTGAGAAAATTTATGGCTTAGTGTAGTTAAATAAACATATAAAAGTACATTTTCTCTACTCAAGAGACCTTTCATATATACTGGTGATTGAATTAAGTCTTTCTATGCATTTTTTCTTTATCACATGTTTCAGTTCTGAAAGAATGGTTAGAACATATCAATGTAACTTCAATCTAATAAACCTTAGTTATTTAATCATTTGTTCTTAGTATTTTAACTGCTGTTTTGTTTTGCATATTTCCATGTAATTACATAATTATATCCCCTTTAAAGCATGCTTTCTGCCTATTCATGTATGTCCCACAATAGCCCTTTCCTCTGCAAATTCTTTTTTTTTTTTTTTTTTGCCACTGACTGCGGGCAACAGCTGGATATGGGCCCAATGCTCCCGCACCATCCATTTTCAGGTCTAGTTGATTTGGCAGGTGAGTTGTTACACACTCCTTAGTGGATTCTGACTTCCATGGCCACCATCCTGCTTCCTCTGAAAATTCTATCCAAGTCTGTAGCCACAGGCAGATATTTTGAACAGATGTTCATCCACAGATAATAAAGGAAGTTTAATCCTTCTTTAACCACAAACCTATATTCATTCAATAAATATTTATTCAACACAGTACTTGTGTTGTAGCCACTAAGCAAGAGGAAATGATAGTAGAGTAGGTGTTTTGGGAAGAAAGTAAAAACAGATGGAGACATGTATTTAAAGTA